TTTTTTTTTTTTTGGTTTTGGTTTTTCTCCGGTACCGGGAACCGAACTCACGACCTTGCGCTTGCCAGGCAGGCGCTTTTGCCGCTGAGCTAAATCCCCAGCCCCCTACGATCGGCTCTCTTAACTTTCCTCCTACTCTTACCTCTCTTGCCATTCATCTCTATTTTATTCTTTGTGATACTGGAGGTTGAACCGGGGGTGCTCTACAACCTGAGCTCCCAGCTCCAGCCTCTTCCATATTTTGAGAAAGACTCTCCCTAAATTGTCCAGGTGGGATGGAATTTGCCATCCTCCTGGCTCAGCCTCCCTCAGTGCTGGGATTTTCAGGAATGCACCACTGCAACCAGCTTCTCCAGGTCTTGTAGGTGCATTTTCTTCTGTGTGGCTTTCTTTTCTCTCACTTTGAACTCGCTTTGAATCTCACCCGAATCAGCAGCTTCATTTATACTGACAACCTGCAGAAGAACAGCCTGCGGTCAAAGTTCACTGGCTTAACATAAGGTGAATTTAACTCTGAATTTAACCATGTTTTCAACTTTTTCAGGGATGAGAAGTCACCTCCCTCCACGCATTTCCAAATGCAGTGACAAAAAACCCCAGAAAACACTGACTGCTATGTCAGTCCTTATTAAGCCTTGCTGATGTTACCTCAGAGGAAAATTTTCTAAGACTTTTCTCTCTTCATCTCTGTTGCCACCATTTTAGTCAAGAACAGACCTTCAAAAAACAAAAAGCAAAAGCAGTCCCTTGACGTACATTTCTTTGTCTGAGAGCCTTTTCATTTCCATAACAATTAGCACTTGAGGGCTAATTATAGTCAGTTGGGTTTGTAAAATTCAGTAAGACTACAACTTTTATTTTAAAATTTCCTTTATATACAAAAGCAAAAAATTATATATATGTATATGTGCACAGTATATGTTTTGCAGGACTGGTAGCTATTGAGCCCTGGAGCACTGAGCTACTTCCCTAGCTTATTAAAAAATTTCAGCTGTATGCAGCAGTCCATGCTTGTAATCCTTGGAAAACTGAGTGAATTCGTGAGACTCTGTCTCAAAATTCAAAAATTTAAAAAGGACTGGAGCTCAGTGTGAAGGCCCTGGATTCAATCTCCAGTATCACAGAAAACATTTTATTTTGCCCAGACTGGCCTCGAACTTGCCATCATCCCACCTCAACCACTTGAGTAGCTGAGATGATAGGCGTTTGCCACCATATTCAGATAGCATTAAATTCCTCCTCCTGCTCCCTTCCTCTGGACACTGGATCTCTGTAGCCCAGAATGGTCTCCAACTCTCAATCCCCTTGCCTCTGCCTCCCAAGTGCTGGGACCGGCATACACCACCATGCCTGGCTCCAGTACAACTTTTCAAGCCTGGTGGTATTCCACCAGTCATCAGTTTGCATTTATGTAACTTGTTATTCTCCTGTAAACCCAGGCATATGTCTATCCAAACATCACTTTTATACTTAAACTGTAAGCCTACATCCCCAAATGTTTAGTACCAGGAATCAAAACAAAACAAAACAAACAAAAATACTTCAAATGTGCTTCTTCCTGATAGTCTCCAGATATCCACTAAACAAAAGTGAATGCTTTGCATCTAAATGCTTAAGGTGCTACTCCCAATCACAAAGGGTTTTCTTCCTATACAGTCAAGGTTCTAACCCGCTCTGATTTGTATGCTGGCAGAGCAGACACAGGTGCAAGGCCCAGCACGTGCGCAAACTGTGCTGTGTGATGATCACCGCTATGTAGGCCTGGCTCACCGGCCTGACTGCGATACTGCGGCTTGAACCCAGGGCTTCGGCACTGAGCTACATCCCCGACCCTTTGTTATGTTGGGGTGTGGTTAATTCACTACTGATAGCTTTCAAAACTGATCTGATGAAAGGTTTTGTTTTTCTTTTCCTCTTTCTTTTTTTGGTCTTTTTGAGCCAAGGTCTCACTATGCAGTTCAGGCTGGTCTTGAGCTCACTTTGTAGCCCAGGCTGCACTTGAACTCACAAGGATCCTCCTACTTCCGCCTCCCGAGTGCTGGGCTTATAGGCGTGCGCCACCACGCCCGGCTCTGATGAGAGTTTATAATGATACTAAAGCAATCGATATGGCCTGTGGTGCTTTCTATGGGATGCAAAACAGGATGACAGTCAATTGAGAAATATCTGCGATGAATTCACTTACTGTCAAAAAGACTGCTGTCTACTTCAAGTGGATAGATGCTCATGCGACGGTGGACACACACTGAGACAGCAAGGGTAGAGGCACAATGAAAAGATGGTCATTTCTTTAGTACAAGATGCTCACTGTGCTCTTCAACGTTAAAAAATTAACGTTAAAAATTTCTACAATTAAATGGTAGGTGCGCAAGCACCTGGACCATGGCTGCGCGCCCACTCTCCGCCTGGGGCGGAGCTCCCCTCGCCCCGCCCCCGCCCCCGCCCCCGGCGCCGTGGC